TGGCACAGTTTCTCTTGCATCTACATTGCCATGAAAGGTAATTAACCATGTCAAATACAACTTTGGAAGACATTACAAGTTAAGAAAGTATTTGTGCATGGTAATTTGATAGAGATACTTACAATAGAGACAAATAATCATTTTGAGAGCTCAGCAGCTATTGGGTAACAGCTGGTCTAAGATATGTAGAATCCCTTCCGTACAGAACCTATTAAACCAAGCTGCTCTAGTCCCAATATAAAACCAAAGTATGAAATATCAATTGTGATACAACCATAGTACTTACACTACCAAATCCTCAAGAATGATGGGTATCTGCTTGATAACTATTATTGGCTTGAATGCCTCACATGGTTAATGCCATAAATTACCAGATATTAATGATCATTGATAAATAAAGAAGTACTATGGAGAAAAAAAAGAGTCGATTTTTAAAATGAAATATACCTTTCTGGAAGAGCACAAAATATTTTTAGGGTAGACAAAGGACATACTCCAACCTGAGTAAAATTGAGCGCCTTCAAAAACACAAAATTCAAAATTCGAAGCACAAGACCATGCTCATTTCAAATCAAATGCAATTCCATATATAACAAACAAGATTCAGATAAGATCTAGAAAGTTTACCAGAATCATCATCTTTTGCCTACTTTCTCTCCATTCCTCTGCTACTGCTTGCTTAGTGGATGATGATTTGTTAGGTATCTTTAACTTTTACAACTAATGACATAAAAACATAGACTGATATACACATATCTACAGACAAATGCAACACATATCTTAGTTGAATCATCATTTACAAAACCCACAAAGTGTTTTGTGCATTCTCTCATAGAAATTAAAACAAACCATGGTACAAACACAGCATTCTCATGATAACATAAATCCAGGAAATACAATGCTACAAATGGAGGAGAAGAAGATTTAAGATATATCATATTTTCCTAGTAAAAGTCTCCAAAGGAACAGTCTCAGACGATCTCAGGTTCTTCGAAACTTAAAGATATCCATGCCTGCAATGATAAAATACATTCTAGTATTATGTATGTAACAAGTCTCTAATAGCAATCTAACATTTTTAAAAGAAGAGATCAAACGAAGAAAGGAATGCAACAAATTTCATACTAAATTCATGTATCAATCAATCTATTCACATCACAATCAATGTACTAAAATCAATATAGTCAACTCAAAAGTCAGAAACAAGCACAATAATATAGAGCCAATCCCCCCGAGATCAAAATCCTCGTTTTGGGGAAAAATAACAGTTTACCCTTTCCAATGATTGGAGTTTATTGAGTCTATCTAGTCTAGTAATAGGAAATTTAAAAGTTTTCCACTTTTGAAATTTGGAATTGATTCATAACAAAATAATGCAAACTTGATTCATCAAATGAAGAGTGAATTGTTTTCAAGAAATTTATAAAGAAATGATGTAGCAGAATTGAAATAATGAAGATACCTAATGATATTATGAGGGAAGAAAAGAGTAATAGTAATTCATGAAGAATTGCAGTTGGGATTTGAGAATGGGGCTCACCTCTTCTTGCCACTTTGAAACCTCAATCTTGGGAATGGATGATCCCTCACCATTAATCCATGTTTGGAAGGTGAGAAATTTTGGGCCACTCAGCACCGATCTTTATCGCTCTTTCTAACACAGGGCAAACCCTAATTCTAAGCTCCTTTAATTTGGTGAGGCGACGAATGGCTTCTGCAGAAGGCAAACATTCTAGATTCCGGCAATTCTCAATCGCGAGACTTTCAAGAGAGGATAAGTTTCCCAGCCACTCCGGTAAAACATCCAATTTGCTGAAGCTTCGAATTTCCAATTCCTTTAGAGCAGTGAGATGTTGAATTTGATGTGGAAGCTGAGTTCGTTTTTCCCAATCCTGCAAACTCAACTTTTCAAGGGAGGCGTGGATGTGGTGAATGAAACTAAAATCTAAGCATTCCTCCACCTCTTCTGAGAAACCACCAATCCGCAGTTCCTTCAGGCCAAGAGGAAGGCATGTGGCTCCAAGACTCTTCAACTTTGGACAATTGCATATAAGTATTTTTTCAAGAGACATTTTTTCAAATGCTATATCAGAAATACTAGTTAATTCAGCACATGCCAAAATTGAAAGCTGCTTTAGAGATGAAAGCCCGTTGATCACTGGAATGCTATTTAGCTTTCTGCAACGTCCAATTGTCAGTTCTACTAAATTGAAATTGTTGGGCGAGAACAATTCATTGTTCGACATCCATGCTGGTAAGTTTTTACCTCCATAATAAAGAATTACTAATCTTTGCACATTCGGGTGAGGCTGGAGGCCTTCCAAAACCTCTTCATCATGATTGCCTTCTAATTCTAATTCACTCCTGTTAAATTTCCACCATAATTCCAACTCGTCAATTGCCTTCTCATGTAATTTTGCTAGCTTTGCTTCTGATTTGTCTTTAACAAGCTCGAGATTCCAGATCTTCAAACTTCCCTTGAGTCTGCTTAAGTTGCCCAATTCTTCAATTGTAAGGCCCTTTCTTGTACCCACATAGAAGGATCCCAATGTTTGAAGACTAGTTAGCCTCCCAATGTTTGCAGGCATGGTACCTTCATCTGCGAAGTGAATATGCCTCAAGTTGATTAAATAGCCAATTCCTTCAAAAGGCATTTTCAGATATTTGCAATCCATGAATCTAAATGTTTGCAAATTATACAACTTGCTGATGGACTTGGGTAACTTCTTTATTTTAGTTTTTGAAATGTCCAAGAACCTCAAACTCTTCATGTTGTCAAAATAAAAAGGTAATTCTTCAATATCCGCATCGCAGAGATTGAGAACTCGTAGCCTTCTAAGATCTGTCTGCATACCACTGGAAAAATCATGTTTTGAAAACAAAGTGTGTAGGTTTTGAGCAACATCTTCTAAAATTGTAGGCACCATTTCCCAACCATAAATGAGATTCAAATGTTGAACATTATTAGGAATGCTGCGCTCATATGTAGTTTCCAAAATCACCGTCTTGTGTTTTGAAACGGATTGAGCAAGATCATGAATTAAATCATGCATTTTGCAAGTAAGATCCTTCAAGATACTGTCACTTTTCACATCTTGAAATAGAGAATATGATAACAAGTCGTTGAAATACTCATTACCAATATCCTCCATTGACTTGGAACTTCCTTCGGACGATTGAATAAATCCTTCAGCCATCCAAAACTCAATTAGCATCTTCCTTGGCATGACATAATCCTTTGGAAAAATTGAACAGAATGCAAAACATTGTTTCAGAGCTGGTTCTGGTAATCTATCGAAACTTAATTTTAAGATAGATAAGATTCTAGCCTCCCCCTCTGGTAATTCCCATGCATTCATATTTTTAATTGACAACCAATAATCTTTACTCATGTTATTACGCAAGATTCCCCCAATAACATTTGCAACCAAAGGCACACCTCTACATTTTTTAGCAATTTCCCTTCCAATGGGCTCCAAATCTAAAGGTATTGGAGATTTCCCGAATGCCCTTTGCTTGATTATAGACAAACATTCAACATCTTCCAACTCCTTGGGATAATGCTTGTGTTCAGGAAAT